TTTCGGTAATGGCTGCAACGGCAATGACTATGTGACGGTAATGACTGCGGCTGCAATGACTGTGTGACGGTAATGATTGTGTGACGGCAATGACTGTGTGACGGCAATGACTGTGTGACGGTAATGATTGTGTGACGGCAATGACTGTGTGACGGCAATGATTGTGTGACGGCAAAAAATGACTGTGTGACGGCAATGAATGTGTGACGGTAATGACTGTATGACGGCAATGATTGTGTGACGGCAATGACTGTGTGACGGTAATGACTGTGTGACGGTAATGTCTGTGTGACTCTGCAAAACGAATTGCGGCGCCTTAGACGACTGGGCCACCCGTGCCCCCAGAGAAACTAAGCAAGGCAGTTATGGTTATGAAGTCTTATAGCGTGCGCTAGAAGATATAAAATCAGTAAAATCAAGGGACTATAACATTACCTGAAAAGCATTCCTGAGGCACGCTAAAGGACAGATTAAAACCCCGGGCTATTAGGCAGATTTATGAAGGTATTCAATGACACATTCGAATGTGAACACGTTTCACACATTCTGCGTATGCAAAGGATGTCTTACGGATTGACATCCGTACATTGTCCTTAACTTAGCAACACGGAAGGCAGGGGTAGACTGGATGAAGGGCTCTGGACAGCGTCATCCTGATTTATCCTTCCGAAAGCCTGAAGCTCCGAATATATCAGGAGCTGTTGCTTTCAATAGACCATTTGTAAACAGTATTTTCGACCTTCTCAAGGCCGAGATGGAGAATCATTCATTTCAGCCAGATTCAATCTGGAATTACCAATGTACATCGTCCATGTCACGAGTGGTGAAAGGGGAAGAACTGCGACTGCGATCTAGGGTGACCGTGACCTCCATACCTCATATGCTTATATTCCCCCTAAAGAGAATGTCGCATGCGCCGTCAGAGTCTATTGGAAAGGCAAGTGATAATAGTTGGATTAACCATGAACTGATCATCTGTTTCCTTGAGCATTATGTTCAGTATGCATAGCCACCCCAAGACCACAAATGTTTGCTCGTGCTCATAGATGGAAACAATAGCTACAAAACTCTGGAGGCTGTCAACTATGCACGGGATCGTGGAATTGTCATCATTGTGTTTCCCCAAGATACCACTCACAAGCTGAAACCCCTAGACAGGACATTCTTTGGGCCTCTCATGGCTAACTACAACAAAAAAGCTCACAGATGGATGCTAATGAACCCAATTGTTTGGCGTATCATGTATTACCTCTTCCAGAACTGACTGCAGGTCCTTCAGACGAACCCCAACCAGATGTTAGAAGACAGATTGAAGCGCTTTCACCACTGGCAGTGGAATACAATCTACAGAGCAGAAAGAGAAGGTCTGGCTCGTCTGTGGTAGTTACAGCATCATCTTTCATGAAAAAGGTAGAGGAGAAAGGACAAAATAGATCAAAGAAAACCAGCAGCAAGGCAAACCAGAAAGTTGCAGATGAGTCGGATGTATGTCACTGTTTGTACTGCAACGAGTTGTGCATATAGAGCCACCTGCTGAGGACTGGCTTCAGTGCATTAAATGTAGGCAATGGTTCCATGCATTGTAGAGATGAGAAGGATATCTGCTATCTCTGTCGTTGATTTTTACCATTTTAAACCGTAATTCTCAAGAACAAGTTTGGACGAGACAAAATAATGTTTTTTATGTCGCCGGTTAAATTTGAACGTTGCAGTTACTCTGATGAGGAGGATTTCATTTCTCGGTTTATGTTTTCATGTGTATGTTATTGCTTAAACTAAGATGTAGTTATACTTGGATACACCTCTAAGCAGTTTGAGGAGTAAGTTATCGTAGAATGGTTGATAGGTGGGGCATTCTACAGACAAGACATAATGATGTCCACGACTAAAACATATTATTCGCGTCTTCTTTTTATGAAAACATTTCTCACTTCTGATTGCAGCACCATCAATATGATATAATATCTAAAAATAAAAACATAACTGTATTGTGTTTAAGTGCATATTTGACCGGTCATGACAGTTGGAAGATGATGGGAGTGTCCATTTTGTGCAGGTCCATGAGTGCAGTTTGAAATTTTAACGCTAGTATTTCTTATTAAAATATCATTTTTTCAGAAAATAACATGATCTTTTTAAGGAAGTTTATATATTAGATATTCTTCTTGTCACTAGAAAACTTGTCATTACCGCAACAGCCTACTTTTTGGGGCTTACAGACAAAGAAGACATTACTTGAAGAAGAGGGTCACGTGACTAGAACGTTCCGTTGGGGGGAATCGTGGAAACATGTGCCATACATGTAGGGTTTTACCCAAGGCCGTAGTTAACTTTTTTTTTTTTTTTGACGGGGGGGGGGGGGGGGGGGCTGAAAGCTGAAAACAAGGGTAATTTAATCTAGATTTCAGAATGCGGTGACCATATTTACAGAGAAAACAAAGTAGTTAGGCAGGTTTGAGTTACCTGAAACCAGTGATAATGTTCAGCCAACATGCTATACATGTACACTGACAGTTATTTGGGGCAATTTCTTCTGAACTGTTGTAAACACGTAATTACCACAACACTGTTGTCATTACCACAACACTGTTGTCATTACCGCAACAGTGTTGTCATTACCGCAACAGTGTTGACATTACCACAACAGTGTTGTCATTACCGCAACAGTGTTGTCATTACCGCAACAGTGTTGACATTACCACAACACTGTTGTCATTACCGCAACAGTGTTGACATTACCACAACAGTGTTGTCATTACCACAACAGTGTTGTCATTACCACAACAGTGTTGTCATTACCGCAACAGTGTTGTCATTACAGCAACATATGTCCACTTCTAGCCTCACAAATGCATCTATATAAAAGCAAAAGTTCCAAGTTTATGTTGATGCTACATCTCAGTTTTGGAAGTTAATCTTGCTTTAAACACATTTTTATCTGTTTTATCAGAGACTTTATTTTTATGGTCTCTGGTTTTATATGAAACTAAACACTTTCGAAATCTGCACATTTTTTAATTTGTGCTTTATTCACATTGGTGGGACCTTTGGTATTGAGCATATAATCAAGCACTATATTTGTAACTTAAAATAACGCGACTGCAACCGACAGTACAAATAAATCTGATATTAATTCTAACTAATTAAGACTTATGGTATTAATAAGCTATGTTGTGGGAATGACATTTGAGGAGGGATTCTCGTGTTTTTCACATTTCATAATTTATTAATATCTTGCAAATTATGAACATTAGATAATATAACTTACAATAATTATGCCAAAACAAATACATTTATTCACCCAATTTGTGATGAAAGCATGTGTCAATACAAGTATAACCCGTAAAGAACCGGGGTAGAAAAGGTCTTCAGCAACCCATGCTTGCCATAAAAGGCGACTATGCTTGTAAGAGGCGACTTACGGGATCGGGTGGTCAGACTCGCTGACTTGGTTGATGCATGTTATCGTATCCAAACTGTGGAGATCGATGTTCATGATGTCAATCACTGGATAATCTGGTCCAGGCTCGATTATTCACACACCGCCGCCATATAACTGACATATTGCTGAGTGCGGCTTTAAACAAGAAACAAAGAAACAATACTAGTACTGCCACATTTGGTAGAATCACCTAGGTGAGGGTTGGTTTGCAACACTCCTGTTACCAGTTATCATTTAGATTTGGAGTTAGCCCTTTTCATTCTAATGAACTGACTGAATTCACTGTTATTAATTGTATTAATGGAATTATTACAGAAACTTAAAAGTATATTATCGCCATGCTATTATTTGTGAAAGTGGGATAATTAGCAGCAACGAAAGACCAATGCTCGCCTTTTCAGACGTGATTTAAGTGCCCCAGTGCATACTGGACGGTACCCATGAAGATCCTAGTCAGAATAGGTCTTCAGCAACCCATATACTTGTCGTAAAAGGTGACGTTGCTAGTCGTAGGCGACTGACGGGATCGGATGGTCAGCCTCGCTGACTTGGTTGATGCATGTCATCGTATCCCAATTGCGTGGACCGATGCTCATGGTGTCAATCACTGTATAGTCTGGTCCAGACTCGATTATTTACAGTCCGCCTTCATATAGCTGGGATATTGCTGAGTGCGGCGTTAAACATGCTAAACCAACAAATAATCAAAGCATACTAGCTGAACCTTCATTGAATGTCTGAAATCAAACTGTATACTTTTTATAACTTTGAGATTTTTTGGCAATAGAAATGTATCTTATCCAGGGAAGAAAATGTTGCCATTAATATTTCATATTTTACGACAAAGAACATTGTAACAGGGGATATGGCCCGGCCCAGGGCTCTAGTTGGGAAATGACCCAGATGCAAATTCATCACCAAAGTTCCATTATTTATTCGAAAGCAGTATTTAAAAACAATCGAAAGTTACATAATCAGAATACTCAGTTAATTGTACATTCAATAAAAATGTTTTTCTTCATGCTTTAATGCAAGTAAGTAGGTCTATAGCTTTAACGGTGACGAAACTTGGAGGGTGCATGCAATAACCGGAATACCGCACCGGTTCAGGTAGTACGTGAAAATTAGGTCAACCAAAGTACGATGTGTAAAACACGAAACCATACTGGTCAACACCGGGTTCGTTCACCTGTGTCGTCCAGGGTTTTGAAATCGAACGTGAGCAGTTTCGCGCACGCGTCAAGTTGTGACTTGGCTCCCGTCTATTCAATATCTAAAACCTAGCTGCGTGTCCCAGTGAAGAGGAACCGGTTCGTCTGAAATCTTCCTCCAATCAATGGTGAACACAGTGTCATGACGTTTTACACAGAAGGTGTGGTGACGTTTACCACAGTACACATGTACATGCAGAATGGTTATACGTCAACTGTGAAAGATAGTGCTTTATTCGATAAATCTTTATTTTTATTTGACATGCCGTAGATCTTCACCAATACATTCAGTTTTGCTCACCTTATTCCAACAACCAAGTTGTTTTTAAAGTGCTCCTTCAATCCGCGCTGACCGAAAATGAAGCGGTACATGGTGGTCTGGGGGTCGGTGTTCTTCTTGGTGATGTTCTGCTCCCTGTATCTGATGCTGGAGACGGTCACAATGTCCAGTAAACCCCTGGAGCTGGACGCGGTAAGTACATGCATACACCATCATATTCTTACATAGGATCGCCAGGTTACTTTGAATTCTAAACAATAACACCCTTCTGTATAATTTAAACTAGACTTAAAGTTCATGTTTCACTGTCATACATTCTTGTATTATGAACAAAGCATACACTTGGCATATATATCCTCTTTTAAATGTTGAGATGAATGCAATGCCTTCTTTCTATTTTTTTCGTTAATGGCAGTTTTTTCTCATTTCTTTAACTAAATGACGTATTCCATGTGTGAGGCCTAATTTTAAGTCTTTCCCTCAGATAGACACTTGTAATAAGCAGACTTGGGAGTAACATATAGGCTATTACATTATATTTGTCACAACAGGTATAGGTGCGGCCACTAGGCCAAGTCTGTTTGTACAAGACAGTGGAAATCGAAAGGATTTGTTGTTTTCTCCAAAAATGTAGTTATATTACATTAAACTACCAGTCCAAACTGAGCTCTGGCCGAGTTGGATATAAACAATGGAGTGGTAAAATCTACCCCTGCATAATATTGAAATAAAAAGTACATAAACAACAACTCTGACACAAAGCATGGTAAGTTTGCAACCTGGTGCTTACAGCATGTTGCTATGTTCTGTTGAACCTACTTTTCAACATGAAACCAAAATTGCCATCATTTTGTAAATATCCACCTCCGACTAATTCAATCTTGTTGTCTTTATTTGAGTATTGTATGTATGACTGGTAAACTCATTAATTGGTTGCTTTCTACTTACTAACAAGGAACTAACTAATTACCTTTATAATACAGTAACACAAACTTTCCAAACACGTGATTTGTGGTATTTTGTTGCCAGTCACACCGGCGAAACAGTGCCCTGTGACGTCAGGGGTCATTGAGTCTGCATAAGCGCCTCCAAGTGATCTATCATCACTACACGCAATGTCATTGAATACGCCCAGCGGTGTTGAGAGTTTTGTATATTTCTTTACTAAATATAGCCTGCGGCGGCGCATTTTAGAACATGCTCTAGTTCACGAAAGCACTTTTATTTTTTATATATTTTCTATTTCGTATTTCTCGTAATTCAAGTAGCTAAAATGGTTATAAATGGGAACTAATATTCATATATTATTTTTCCGGTTCATTAATTTTCATTATTATGCACAAGAATGCAGTTTATTAGGGATATTGCTGAACACATCCAAATGTCTCCAGTGTCAGGGTAGGTTACCCCGAATTCTATCCTTAGCCCTTGGATCCCCTTTACGATCAATCACCCCTTTACGATCATTAGGAATAGGTTCCCGTTTAGTGGCTGTTATAGATTCTATAGAAGCTCCTAATATTCTTCACACAAAAACGTTGAGTAAAAAGGATGCAACGCGTTTGTGTCGACTATTTTGGCTACTGGAAACTGTCCTGGAACACACAAGCCACTTTCACCCCCTACATTTTTTCAGTACTGATTCAAAATCGAACTCACCCTTGTGTCGTCACTAGCCATGCTCATGCCTGCCTCGCTCCTTACTATTATCCACATCATCCTTACAGTGTTCCCAACCACACTTTTCTGTCACAAAAATCACCCGACGAATTATTAAATACCATATGATTCATACATACTCGCGAGTTCGACGTCTGACGCCTGGAGCCGTTTTCAGTTCGCGCCATATCGGCTCATTCCTCGCCACTCGGTATCTTGTAGATTACGTCATGGGATGAGTGTGCCAAATGGCATCGGGTTCATTAATAAGTGTCTGTAGACTAAAGTCACGAGACACCATGCCTACCCGTAACCTTCGTAAGTGTCCGTCACCTATTCGACCCTTTTCGTTCAGTTCCGTAACGTAACTTTGCACTTTGTTTCACAGTGTGGACGTAGCTCAGTTGGTTAGCTGTTGGGCTAATAATCCGAAGGTCGCGGGTTTCGTGTCCGATGGATTCTCACAAAAACTGGTTGCTTGTCTTTGAGACATGTGACCTACAGCAGAGATTGTCCTCACGAGAAGTTGTGGTACTGTATTCTAGAGGTGGAATCATTTTATCTGGGACTGATTATTTTTCAGTTATATTAGTTGGTTTTGATAAAAACAATTGTGGGCCCAACAGTGTCAGACAGCACACCTCTTGGGAATCTTGTCATATGATCTTATATTTGCTGGCAAGCTCTGCTCACTCACTTAGTGAAAATGTTCAGTGCTGCCTTAATACGTACCACTCTACCTTTATGTTTAATGGATTGTGCTAACTTGTGTAACAACACTTCGAACCTGTAAAAGCTTTGTCGGTGACCCAACCTGGTTCATTTGAAAATGCATTATTTGGAATTTCCTGCTTTTGATTTAGTTGAAATTAATTTTGAAGTGAAATTTGTGGAGATGCACATAATATTATGCAGTTGAAATGCTATCACACCATATTAATTCATGGAATTGTAACTCTACAGCCTTGGTGACATCAGAAATGATGCATGAAAACATACACAGTTTAGATAACTACGAATGTTTGTATCAGTATGTACACTAAACTCAGACACACACTTAGACAGTATTTGGTTGTGAAAACATAAAACACAAAGGTAGCGCAACTTGTAAACAGATCTCCTTCTTCTTTCTCCTCTTCCAAAGTGATAAATGAAACTACAGTAAGCCAACAATAATGGTGAAGACGAAAACATATGTAGGAAAGGGTAGAGACACACCCAAGCTGACATGGAAACACATCAGGATCTGTAACACATGATCAGGAAATCTGAGAGCTTGTCAAAGTTTGTTGTTGATAGACGGGATAAATTATTGATCATCAATCGATTGATGTATAAGTGAAGAATGAAATAAATTAATGATAGCTTGAACTTTGATAGTGTATGTTCTTATCAAAATGGAAATGTCAGTTAAACTATGCTATGACATGTACAATTCAGCGTATATACAGCCATACAATATTCATCATATTAAGCGCATCTCTCCTTAATAATGCTTGCTAAGTTTCGCAGCTGCCATCTTGCTAAAGTAGCAGTTGCTTGTAATTAATACTTTTGTAATTAAATGTCATTTTCAGTTACCAATGTTAAAGATAGATACTATGTTTGCTGAAATGTGGCATTGATAGGTGTTACTGATGTGGTTGCTGGATGCCATCATGGAACTTCTATTTTCGAGAATTGTTTCAATGTTGATGTCTGATTTTTAATAAATGTTTTTGGCTATTCAATTTTGGGGTGCAATCATATTAAACCATACACGTGCATGAGCAGTAATTTTGTCTGCTTATTTTGAGCTTAATGACCTTGTTTTTCAAATAGCAATCCTGATCAGCAGATGAAAGGCTCAGAAGGGTTTTTCCTTGACCTGCTGAAATAGGGCCCAGGATATCCCCTTTAATTATTTTTAAGGGTCCTTGCAGGCAATATGAGGGTCCTGTAAAGTAATAAAATGGCACTTTTAGATAATTACTTTGTAGCTTTTAATGAATCAATGATCATGTGGAAAGTGGTCATGATTGATGGATGAAATAACAGACACCCATAACTGCGCTTGATGCCCTGTAAATACAATATAAGTTGTCACCCAATCTCGAGGGCTATATGGTGTGAAGTACCCTGTGTGTAAGCCTATGTACCCTGACCTGCCAGGGAACATCACACCATATGCCCCAGGGAAGTCTTTATGTGATCTGCTGGGAAAGTCTTTATGTGATCTGCTGCTAAAAGGCTTATGTTATGTAAATTAATAAGTTGGTGATGTGGGGAAAATCTCCAATTGTCCTCATCATGGTAGGCTGCCAGTCATCAGTCTGCCACCTGTTCATTCAGTTGGTGTAACATGTTTTTCATATTTTCCTAAACTGCAGGGTCAAAGAAATTGTGCTTCTATGTAGCTGAAAACTACCATGGTGTTAGGTACAGGAAGAATGCATGCTCGGAGATGTTATGACACTATAGTGTCTATGTTTTAACTTATCCTTTTTTCCTTTGACTTAGCCTTTTATAAACTTAGTGACTGAGATGACACCACAAGAGTTGTTCTTGGTGTCCCAGGTCATTGAAAAGGACATAATCCTACATTGCCGCCAAATTTAAAGTAAAAATTATGTTTCTTACGACCATATATTAAAATCATGTCAGATTCATAATATACAGGAAACGTTGACTGTAAACCTCTCTGTCCATCATCTGATTTACAGTCAGTACTAATTTGTGCAATCATTAGAAGCAATTACAGGAATTAAGTGGATCAGCAAGGTTTTGTTAGAACACCTTTACAGATACTGGCTGATAACAAGTAGCATCCTATGAAACAGGACTGTTTTTGGGTTGTATTTCTTTGATCAAAAGTCAATCTCATGAGATAGTCATGGTCATGTCTAATGGAATGTGGAGTGTGGCGTTAAACAACAAACACACACAGTCACTAAAAACTAGTGTAGAGCTGAAGGCATAAATGTCATCATTCAACTTAAAAGGTTGTAGACAATGTTACAGACACGAGATGTTCTACCTGTGCTTGGTAGCTGGTATACAATGTGTCTTCATGCTCAGCATAGATGACATGCTTCGCTGTGAAGGAGCAGGTGAATGTAGCAGTGCTCATTTAAGACAGTTGTTTTATATTCCTTGAGGACATATTTGTGATAGACCCTATAGCCTGTGTAATGATGACACATGATAAAGTTTGTAAAAGATATCATGATAGGCCCTAACTCAACTCTGAGTGGTGCAATGTTAACAACCTAACTTGAATACCTCTGGAAATGCTTCTGTACCAAGGCATGGATGAATGTCACCAAAAGGGTATCTACTCTTGTTAAAGGAATCAAACAAGTTACATAAGAAATCTTAAAATGTAAGTAAGTAAGAGGACATTAATCAATGTTTTCAGTATGAGCTGGCATAGTAGTATTCTGAATGGTATCAGCTGTAGCAATGGTTGTGTAAACTGTTGGACAGTATCCAGAGGACTCACTCAGTATATATACCACCCAGTGTATACTAGTATCAGTTGTAGCAGAGGTTGG